ATTGACTGAGGATATTTCCACAGTATATAACACACTGTATTATATACATATTATTTATATATACATATTATTATAACACACAATATAAACTAATGATGTGATAAATTATTTAAAACAGTAAAAAACATAACAATTTTAATAATATCAATAGATACACAATTTTATCAATATAAACAATAGAGCGAAATCGGAAGAAAATCAAAAAGTTATTAAATTATATTTTTTGGTCACACTACAAACAACATAATTAAATTAACCAAACAATAGACAAATGAAAAAGTATTAGAAATACGTATTTATCATACAATTGACTTTATAATTAATTTGGCAACAGCAATATCCCAAAATTTCTCTTCAAATTCTATATCTTCTACAAATAGGCCATAAGGTGTCCACACAATAAAGTGGCACAATTTTGCCATCGTTATGGCAAGTTGACCTTAAACTTGGTAGCAATAATTGAGATTTCTACTCAAATGTATGTTACTTCCGCCATATTTTAAATACTTAATTTTGTTCTATTGTACTGCGATTTGTTGTGTCAATTTCTTGCTGTGTAAGGACATTTTACCACAACTATATCTTTACTATTTATTATGTCATCTGGTGAAGCACCTAAATACGGATGATCCTGGCACATAGAAATACTGTAGCTTCCCACTTTTTTATTGAATTGTTGCTCAAACTCTTGTATAGCAATTATTGCTTCAAGATCCTTACCCCAGTTGGTCATTTTAGATTTTGTAAATTGTTGTAAATACAATTGATTATTTATAAATTTGTTGGGATTTATTGATTTACACATTTTACAAACATGTCCAAAATTTGAAGCAGTTAATAAGTTCTTTTGAATTTGAATCAAAAATTCATTTCTATACTGCTTTTTAATTTGCTTTTCAATTTAAGTTATTCCTGCTGTTGTTCTAACAAGTGACTCTAAAAATTTTGTCTTTTCTTCTTCAGCGCACTCTATCAGTTCTTCTTCATCTTCAGTAAAACCATGATCTTTTTCGACGGTTAACATTTTTCTCCGCTTTTTTATTATGGGATACTGACAATGTCTTGTAGCTGCCACCAATTTTCTTTTGGGCGTTCGTTCAACATATATTATTTAGTAGGGTGGTGTTCTCTACTATTGTTAATAATTTGCACCAACACTATATAGGCTACTGCAGCAGCATTACACCTCACCTCATATGAATTTTTCAATGCAAAATTGATACGTTTCCAATTGATATGCAATAAGCCTAACCAGACAAAAATAGGAAGCCTATCATGTTATCCAAAAACATGGTCTTGTAGGGGGAGATCTTGTTTTCTATGATAATTTATCCCTGATTTAATACTTACTTTGAGTGTTTCAATATATTTGTTTATTCTTTTTAATATGTTGCGTATATCTGGGAGCCACCTTGTTTTTGGATGTTATTCTTTTATTAGCTATGTCTTTCAATTTGGTCCAATAATTCCTTAGCAAATGATTAGTGCATTCAACTTTTTTTAGAACGACATTTGCACCATAACCAACAAGCAAGTGTCTCCATCGCCAATTATGGTTACATATTTTAGTTTGTGCATTTCTATACTTATTTTAAATCCTTCCAATATGATCTCGGACTCCATTGCAATGGGTATTTCTGTCCAATTTTTAGCACATTGCTGATCTCTTGAAGTTTTATATGACAATATTTATTTCTGCAAGCAATGAATAAAATTTTGCTTGTTCTTTCTCCAATTATAAATTATTAAAACGTAAAATTATTTAAAACTTGGATGCTTAGTTTAAGCCTTTTTTAAACCACGATGTGAGATAAGGTGAGATTTGAGGTGTAACAGAATAATACTTCCTACTCCAGATAATGCAACATATCAACAATCACGCTGATAAAAATATTTCCATCACCCAATTCTAAAACCAATTTATATTCTTCCTTTCCAATTTCTTGCATTGTATGCAACACTTGTTTATAAGTACAGTCTGATATAAGGTCGTTCTACTGTATGCATAGTTGATATGACATTTGAGGCATATCCATAAAGGTTTCTGTTCAACTAATATAATAAACATAAAAACATTTCGCACAATTTTCGGTATGGGCACATCACACACTGATACGAGCTCATCCACTCGGTATTCATCACTACGAAAAGGGGCAGTCGTTTCGTATTATGAATAGTTGCCACCAGGCGCCGCCATCGTACAGAGTATTAAAATTAAAAAATTTAAGATCAAATTATATATTTGCAATAAAAGAAACATAAATGAATTATTAACAAAAAATGTTACTTCAATTATAAAAAATGTTTTTAAAGGCGCAATTTCAAATATTTATAAATAATTCTGTTATTATTATTTAATGTGTGAACATGTTTGTTTACCAACAAACTTTATATTTATATAGAATTAGTTTATTTTAAAAATATTTTGATATTTAGATAATTGTTGTGATAAACGGGTTCGACAATTTACAAGGCGGTAAAGGCTCTTTAAACTGAAACTCATTTCGTAATGATTCTTGCAACTGCCTAAGTGTGATTTTTTGATTTTCTTTACGTTCAAAGAAACGGTGATGTCTCTTGGTTTTCCTTCTTCTTGATTTTTTACCCATTTGAACTGTTCTTTTTGCAACACCAAAAATTTCAGCTAAATTGCTCCAGTCGCAATTCGTATTGTAAACGGCACAAATTTGGCGTTTTAAGTTTACTGCTTCCTTTTTCTTAATATAAGACTTTTTGTAGACAGTTTATTAACAAACAATGGCAATTTATAATTGTTTAATGTCATTTTGATTTTGATTAATGCCAATTTGATTATGACAGTCGCCAAATTGGTTTTGTTTAATGCCATTTTGAGTTTAGCCGCCCTTACACGATCAATAATATTGACAATACCTCAGCATATTGACAATAATATTGATCGTGTAAGGTGAAAAATTTTATTGACGCTAAATATTGATGGCGTATTGATAAAAATACGGATTTTCTGATTTTCGGACATCAATACTGAAAATTGGAGGGGATATTGACAATACTATTGACCGTGTAGGGTTGACGCCAATATTTCTATCAATACTCAGTGTAATAAATTCAATATTCAAAATTAAATACTTTTATTTAATTGTAACAATAACAAAACATGTCTATCAACACACTGAAAAAAGCATACTTTGTTATTTTAACCCAGATGATTTGAAAACAGGTTTAATTCTTATTTTATACATTACACTCAGTTCAGTTCAAGCCGCGCGCTTCTGAAGAAGTGGTGAAAATGACCGACCCATTAACTGACGTTGATGTTCAACACGATGGAGATACTGTTGGTTCATCCATTTCATGTCTTGTAGGACATATATAAAGGATTCACAGGTTTCTATTACAGCTTTGCTGATAGTTGCTGGGGACATTATGACAGAAAACTTCAAGTCTTCAAAATTTCTTCCTGTGGCCAAGTACCTCAAGGTTAAGGCTAATCTTTCATTAACACTTGTACTTTCTCGCATATTGCTATCCTGTTTTTTCCAAAATGGTTCAACCTTCTGTAACAGTTTGTTAAAGGTATTTTCATCCATTCGAAAGTAGTTCTTGAAATCATCAACCATCAAAAATCAGCCTCTGCGATGATTTCTTTCAACAGTACTAGATGAGAATATTCATCTGTCTTCTTCAACCACTCTTTCATCCAGTGTTTGCGTTTCACTCGACGAGTAGTTCCAAGCGCTTAAATAATAGCTACGCATGCTTTTGTACGACTATCCATATTTGGAAGGGAAAAACCGACAAATAACGGAATAAAACTACGTAGATTTAGCCTGTTCGTGGTAAAAAGGTAACTTATTGACAAAAGTATTGACAATAATATTGATCGTATAAGGTAGTGAAATATTGAGACTGGTTATCACGAGGATTGATGGTTGTATTGTCAATACTATTGATCGTGTAAGGGCCGCTTAAGATTCAGAAGATTTGAACTTGATATGGTATAGACCAGGGTCTAGGTCTCTTCCCCATATTAATCCGTTATATCGAGGTTTTACTATATAGGGTGTCTCACGTAACTGGTTCGTTAAAACTTTTTTAGGTTCTACTATTCGTAGAGGTTTGAAATTTTGGTAGCATTGGTTTTTCATTCGAAACTTTCGATCTAAAATAGTTTCAAGATGGCCGCCTCTTCCGGTAAGCCACAACTTCGTTATTTTAAATGGAATGCTACAGTTTTTATTACACCTTTTAATTATATGCAAAAAAATAAGTTGACTTTGATAAAAGTTATTGGTACCTAGCATTTTTCGTTTTCGAGTTATTTTGATTTTAAACTTTTTTTTTTGCAAATTATACTATGCTCTTTAAATCCTCATATCTCAGCCAACGTTCATTCAAAAAAGCTCTAAATTGGCACGATTACTCTTTAGATGTTGTCAAATAGATTGTCATTTGTTGTATTAAAGTATATACAACAAATAAAAACTGTAGCATTCCATTTAAACTAACGAAGTTGTGGTCTACTTGTGGCCATCTTGAAAGTATTTTAGGTCGAAAGTTTCGGATGATTAACCCCTACTACCAAAATTTTAAACCTCTACGAATAGTGGAACCAAAAAAAGTTCTTACGAACCAGTTACGTGTAACACTTGTATTATAACTCCTTTAATATAATTTTTATACAATTTTTTTTAGAGTTTTATTATTAGGTGCTGATGTAACTTTAGCATTTGGTAGAAGATATGGTTTAGTAGGTCGAAACGGATTGGGAAAAACAACACTTTTGAGAATGATTTCAGGGGGACAATTAAAAATTCCTTCCCACATTTCGGTTTTACATGTGGAACAAGAAGTCACTGGAGATGACACTCTTGCTATAAACAGTGTTTTAGAATGTGATATCGTTAGAGAAACGTTAATAAAACGTGAAAAAGAGCTAAGCGCTGCCATTAATTCCGGTTCAAGCGATCCGGAACTTTCCACTGAATTAACTGAAGTTTACGCGCAATTACAAAATATTGAAGCGGATAAAGCACCTGCAAAAGCTTCCGTTATTTTAAATGGGTTAGGTTTTGATAAACAGATGCAAATACGAGCAACAAGAACATTTTCTGGTGGTTGGAGGATGAGATTAGCTTTAGCTAGAGCTTTATTTTCCCGGCCGGATTTATTACTTTTGGATGAACCTACAAACATGTTGGATATTAAAGCGATTATTTGGTTGGAAAATTATTTGCAAAATTGGCCAACTACTTTACTAGTTGTTTCTCACGATAGAAATTTCTTGGATACCGTTCCAACAGATATTCTTTATTTACATTCACAAAGAATCGAAGCTTATAGGTTAAATTTTTTTTTATGATCCCTAATGTATAATTGTATTGATTTAATTAATTTTAGAGGTAATTACGACCAATTTTTAAAAACAAAAACGGAAAAACACAAGAACCAACAACGTGAATATGAAGCACAACAACAACATAGGGCTCATGTTCAAGAATTTATAGATCGTTTTCGATACAACGCTAATCGAGCGTCTTCCGTCCAATCAAAAATTAAGATGTTGGAGAAATTGCCTGAATTAAAACCAATCGAAAAAGAAACCGAAGTCATTTTAAAATTCCCCGACACCGAACCTTTATCGCCTCCAATTTTACAATTAAACGATGTCAGTTTTTGGTATGAATCGTCAAAACCTATTTTTACGAACGTTAATATTGGGGCGAACTTCGATTCGAGAATTTGTATAGTAAGATCTTGTTATTAAATGTTACTTAGATTATGATTTATTTTTATTTTGTTAGGTTGGTGATAACGGTGCGGGAAAAACGACTCTTTTAAAAATTATAATGGGAATTTTAGCACCGACGGTTGGTATGAGGCATTCGCACAGGAATTTAAAGTTTGGTTATTTTAGTCAACATCATGTAGATCAACTTGATATGAGTGTTAACTCTGTTCAATTATTACAACAAACGTATCCAGGTTAGTAAATAATTAATTACTTTTTTTATTAAGGTATCTTCTGATCCTTACACCTGATGGCGTCAGATAAATCTTTTCTTATTTCTACTCCCTCCAGTTCCTGGCTAATTCCTTTTTATTTTTTAGAGTCTTCCCTCTGTTCTTCCCAACTTCTGCGATTCTTGCCTCCTAGTTCTTCCTAGGTCTTCCCCTCTTTCTCTTATCCTTATTCTTCGCTTCAAATACCTTTTTTACCATTGTATTATGTTCCATCTAATTATGTGGGCATACCAGTTTAGTTGCTTTCTCTCTATTTTGCTGATTATCTCCTCTTGATCTATTCTCAGTCTTATTTCCTCATTCCTTATCCTAAGCGATAGTAATATGGTTATACAGGGTGTTTCGGTGACTCGGGGAACAAAAAATGTAACCGCATGTACTAGAGTGAAAATGATGATGATTCATGTAAAAAAAATTAGTAAAAGTCCTCAAATTTCCAAAAATTTTAACACATTTTTCTAAATATCTTAAACAATATTTATGGTAAAGCGTTGAAATTTGATACAGTGTAAACTAATATCACGTAAAATCATTAGGCAAGTTTTGAGTTGGATTGGTGCGCGGGAACAATGCTATACAGGCTGTTCCTAAAGTTTGTTTGCTCAGAACTTTTTTATTTTATCATAACCCTACATTTATTTTTGCAATTTCTAATAGTAAATTTAGTTTAGAAACTTTTATCACCCTTAGAGAATATTGATAAAATCCACCGTTTTCGTATTAAATGCAAAAATGTTAGGCTCCGAATTCAATAACACTAAAAAAATAAAATAAATAAATAATCTGAATTGGCAATGACAAGTGAAAATCGAACTGAGCTGTCATAACTATTATGTATGCAACATGTCCAAGTGTAGATTTAGCTAAATCACATTTTTAATTTGTTTTAGGCCCACTTTTACCACCTCTTGATAAATTTAACCGATAGATAAATTGGCGCTCTTAGCCAATGAGAGCGCTTAAAACCGCTGTATCAAGAGGTGGTAAAAGTGGGCCTAAGTTGGTTAAATAAAAGAATCCAAAAACAATAAATTAAAAATCAACAAAAAATAAACAAAAAAACGACAACACTAACAAGAATAATAAAAAAAGTACATAAAATACAAGACAAGTAATAAAAAATACTAAAGGAAATGGTCAAAAACGTAGATTTCTCTTTTTTTAGTGCTATTATTGAAATCGGAACCCAACATTTTTGCATTTAACACGAAAACGGTGATTTTTATCAATATTATCTAAGAGTAATAAAAATTTCTAAACTAAATTTACTATTAGAAACTGCAAAAATAAATGTAGGTTTATGATAGAATAAAAAAGTTCTGAGCAAACAAACTTTAGGAACAGCCTCCTGTATAGCATTGTTCCCGCGGATCGATCCAACTCATAAATTGCCTAACGATTTTACATCACATTGATTTATACTGTACCAAATTTCAGTGCTTTACTGTAAATAGTGTTTAAGATATTTGGAAAAATGTGTTAAAATTTCCTAACTTTGATGGCCTGTATCTTTCAAATTTGAAGACTTTTACTAATTTTTTTTTATATGAATCGTCATCATTTTCACTCTAGTATATGTAGTTATATTTGTTCCCCGGGTCACCGAAACACCCTGTATAGATTTGCCACTTAACGACATAAAACTGAACTGCCATAAGCGCCATCTGTTGAGTGTTCTCCGTTAAGGGAAACATTTTGCGGGTATTTATTGTATTGTAAATTTTTTTAGAATTCCATTTTTTTCAGAAAAGACATTGAATTACTAATAATAATATGTATTCCAATGTCTTTTGTGTGATACAACTAAAAATTTAAGAGATTCTGAAAAAAATGTAGAGTAAGATGATGAAATAGACGTTGAAGACGAGGAATATAATACATATTTCCTTATTTTGTAAATGTTATAAATAAGTTTGGTGTATAGATAATCGACTCTGCATTCTTGAAGTACTTGCAAAACTGCCATCAACTCAATTTAAATCAAATTTTATAAATACTTCATCTTGGGTAAATACCCCCAGGTATATATGCAGAGTATTATCCCTTGAAAATAAATACCCGGGTATTTAACAACACTGACTAAAATACATACAATTTAATAGCAAATATAGAGTTGGTACACTGGCAGTTTTTAAGTATGCATTTGTTGCTCTATCACTGCTTTGGAAATGCCTATGACAAACACGGTCCGATCTATAGATTATATCCAGTGAAAGATCTGTAAGTTTTGAATTTCCACATTTTAAAATCCACTCCTTACACAGATTCTCTTTCTTTTGTTGTGTCACAGGTTGTGTCCATACATCCAAAAACGGCACAGGCGCGAGTCCTGTTAATACACCGTTTCATTCTAAACGTTAAATTAATTGCTAAGCTTGAAAGTTAGTTATTTTTGTTTTAGAATAAACTTTTTTTTAGTGTCATCAAAGAAATTAAATTTACAGTTTCCTGTAAATTACGGTACTTTAACTAAAAGTTATTTTACTAAAAATTTATATAAAATTTACTTTATTTTCTAACATGTTAAACTTTTTGTAATCCATCTTAAACAACATGATTTTTAATTTGACAGGGACTTTAAAAAAATATAAAGCCCCTAGATTTACAAAGTACCGCGGTTTGACGCCATTTTGGCTCGAAAGTCAAGCGGGAAATTTAAAACTACAAACCAAAACATTATGCCAAATTTCCTTTCTTTTTTTCTCGTGCTACTCTGAAGAGTCGAAAGTCCTTCTTACTGCCATTTTTGCAACTCCAAAGGCAACAAGACGGCAATACTTTTGTAAATAAGTGGTGAGATGCAGTGACAAGCTGTCAAACCGCCATATTGGCTCGAAAACAGGCTTCATGAACCGCGGTACTTTATAAATCTAGGGACTTTAAAAATATATATATATGAGCGCCATCTATCAATAATTTATTAAGTCATTTAATAATAATATTAAATATTAATAAAAAATATGAAGTAATGCAATCTATTCCAATTTTTGTGTAAAACAAATATAAATTAAATAGTTCAACAACTGTATTTGTTTCAAATATCAGAAATATGTTTTTTTTAATTTTTAGTTATAATTTGCAGGAAACTGTAAATTTAATTTCTTTGACGACACTAAAAAAAGCTTATTTTTAGCTTTATTCTAAAACAATAAGAAATAGACCTGTCAAACCCTATATTTTTGTAATCAGAAAAAAATAACGAATTTAATAAGCGAATAAACAGTGGTTGTTTCCATTTGAAAAAACAAAAATTGTCATGATATCTCAAAATCTAAAACCGAAAATTTTTTTTTGACTACGTCATGAAATTCTCTCTAAAAAAGTGTCCATAATAACTAATGTCTTAGTTATAACACTCCACCTATAATAATAACCAAGATAATTGTACTTGTTGGTTTTACGATAGCGCTTTGAGGTTTGTAAGCTACTTTTTTTCTAACTCTTATAGTTTCCGAGTTAGCCTATTCGGACATCGAATTTGAACCACCCTGTACACTTTCAATTTTATCTTTTTAGCTATCTCCTTCTTCCCAAAAATTGTTCTGTTTAGAGTATGATATACGTTGTTTGTTTTCGTTATTCTTGCATTTCTGTCTAAATCTATCCTTCTATCTTATGATATTATACTACCCAAGTACTCCTATGATGATTCTTCTACCTTTTGTTCCATAATAAATGTTTATTTCGGGTTATTTCTTATTTATTTTTTATTTATTATCATGAGTTTACATTTATTTACGTTCAATTCAAGGTCATCTTTTCAATTTCTTCTGTCCATATTTCAACCAACTTCCTTACCTTTTTATGGTTCTCTGCTATCAGCACTTTATCATCATCAGCATATAGTAAATTATCTATTTTTACTGGTTCCAAACTTTTATAGCCTATTACTGTTTGATATTTATTTGATCTTATATTTTTTATCACTCTGTCCATTAATATTATAAATAACAAGAAGGTTAGGTTATCGCCTTGTTTTATTCCCTTGCTCATTTCAAAAGTTTTTGATGTTTCTCTCTCCATTTGTACTATGCCCTTGACTTTCTTATATAGATTTTCAATTATTTTTGTTAGTTTTTGTGGTACCATTAGTTGTTTTAGACACTTCCATATAATACTACGGTTAAACATGTCAAAAGCTGCTTGTAAGAATATTAAATATAGTTCATTGCCCATCTCTATTTTCTTCTCAATGGTATTTTGGATTACATGTATGTTATCGTTCGTTTGTTTGCTTGCTCTGTATGCTGCTTGTTCACCTTCTAGTTTATTTTCCACTACTCTTCTTAACCTTTTTTCAATTATCTTTGTGTATAACTTGTAGATGCTTCCTTTTTATGTATTAAGATAAATATTTAATTATTTTATTAAGGTAAACCAATTGAAGAATATCGCCGCCAATTGGGTGGTTTTGGTGTTTCTGGAGATTTAGCTCTTCAAACAATCGGAAGTTTATCGGGAGGTCAAAAATCGCGTGTTGCTTTTGCCGTTATGTGTATGGGTTATCCAAACTTTTTAGTACTTGATGAACCGACTAATCACTTGGATATTGAAACTATAGAAGCATTAGGAAAGGCAATAAATAAATACAACGTAAGATTTTGTTTTTAATTATTTTATATTTATTAATTTATACTCCTATTTACTTTTTAGGGAGGTGTAATTTTGGTATCTCACGATGAACGTTTAATTCGGGTCGTATGTAAAGAACTGTGGGTGTGTGGGAATCAATCAGTAAGAAGCGTTGAGGGTGGTTTTGATGAGTATAGAAGGATTGTTGAGCAAGAATTAGAAGCTGCCGCAAGTAAATAGGTAATAATTAATAAAAGGAAATAATTCGGTTGGTTAAGTAAGATAAAACCCAATAATGTGCCTGCCAATTATTTTTTGCCCCCCCTTCTTAATTAATTTTTTGTAAATCAACAATTTGTTACGGAAATAACAAGAAATAGTAACTTTATAAAAAAGGCTCCTGGAAAGAAAAATAATCTGAAACCACTGTTAAAAATAAGGGGGGTAATAAGGAATGGGAATTGCGCGGAAAAACCACAAAAAAGTTAACTACTTGCGTTTTTTAAACGTGTATATATTATATAAAAAAATGTATGAGTGGGCATGAATTTTTGTGATAACGAAAATTTAACCGACTATTATAATGATCTTTAAATTATTAAATGAATTAAATATAATTAAAAGATAATATTTAAAAAAACTAGTTTTAATTTCCTGTTTTACTAAAATCTTGTTTCCTTTGCGTTTCTTCTAAATACAACAAGGAGTTATATATCTTTCATAATTTATCCTCGATTTTGCTTTCTTGTAAAAATCTTTATAATGATCAGTGTAACATGGATTTGGGCAATTATATTCTACATCCGAACCAGGTGGTCTGAAACAGAAATAAAGTTGAATTGAAATTTTTAATTTATATATAAAGGTGAATAAAAATGTATTAAGTTGGAGGTTATTATTTAAAATAAAAAACGTTATTATAAAAATAAGTGAAGGCGTTAAAAAGATTACATTTTCTGTAAGTTTTTGATTTAATCTTCACAATTTGTATATAAAGTGAATCTATTATAGAATCTGAAAAGAGGGTCTATTGAACACCAAATGAAGCAACTTTTCATTATAAAGAAGTGGACAACAAAGTCTTCTTAATTTTAGTACATCACATATTTGTAAGTACCTTAATCAAGTTGATTAGGGGGGGGAAATTATTAGTAGCTGAAATGAAGGAGGTTTTTACAATGATTTCATCAGATGCAATGTTTTATTGATGATGCAGAAAATTAACTAATTCTGGATCTACAATCAAATTTAATATACAGTTGGACGGGAGTACTGTAAGACAGTAAAACAATATTAATGGATAATGTAGCTTTGTAGCGATGTTAAAGGATAACAACAAACTTTTACTTTTGTTTTTCAACCTACTTGTCGATATCTTCGTTATTTTTGGATATAACGGAATATTACATACACCATTATTACGACTTTTCTTAATCTAAAAGCGGGTTTTATCAATATGTTGATATCAAGAACGGCAATAAATAAAGAACGTCGCCATGTGTACCAAATACACCTCAAAATTATAAAACTTCAGACTATCAATTTAAAAAGAACGCTTTCAAATATGGACAATGTTTAAAAAGCGCTCTTTCGATTTATTATTCTCTACTATTCAATTACGTACATAATTCGTGAGGTCTTTAAAGCTTCAGATTTTGTGGATGTGTTGACCACACTTATAGCAAATTTTCCTGCGGTTTCCTCATTTAATCATCAGTTACTTAAGTTCACTAAGACTCTCATTCGTGCTTTCATTGAAGCAATTAGCAGTGTCGAAGTTATTATTATTGCGCATTATGTTGCGTGTTTTATATCTATTATGTGGTTTATTTGATTTTGTGTTGGAACGTCAGGTGATATCCAAGTGACTTTATCTTTCCTTTGGAAGCAGGTGCTTGAGATAGTCATAGCCAGCGATGCTGACAAATTTATGAGCCTTATTCCATTGGCATTGCTCTCTTGGCGCAGACTGTACTTTCCCGTGGTTGATCTAAATTCCAACTCTCTTACATTCAGATCCCCTATTATGGGCATTCTTTGTGTGTTCTTTCCAGCTCCTCATAGAACGTGTCCTTTATCAGTTCGTATGTAGTTGAAAAACCTTCCCTTTACTCGTAATTTCTAGAGTCTTAGCTTTTATTGCTTCGAAGCCGGTAACAGTGCGTTTTATTGTGTTCTTAACTACGAGCCAACTCCCAAAGCACGTCTCTCTATCTCATCAGTAGCTATAGAAGATTCTATAGCTTCTTTCCCCTATTGTACTGCCCCTTCCATTTTATTTCTTGTAATGCTGTGATATCGAACTTATTCAAGTGTGTTAAGTGTATACAGTGTTCTGATATCTATGTTGTCACTCGTAGGTTTATTTTCCGGTTTGTTGACCTCTGGTTTTCGTAACAATGATTTTTTATGAGATGAGGAACGCTTCTGTTGGGGTTACCATGCCTTAATCGATATGTTCCAGTTTTCATTCATTAGAAACAACTAGCCTTTACCCTCCTCTGTTTTCTATATGACATATGTACATCTTAATGTACGCACGCACTACATTGACTGAGGGACACAACAGGAATGTGTGGGCGTTTTTCAGAGTTTTAGTACAGATCAGCGACCGGCAGTCTGGTCTACCTCCGAGATCCATTTACCAACCATTTCAACACCCTTGTCTACACTGTGACTGAAAGCAGTTAAAAACTCGCATATAGGTATAGCAGCCATCATTTTTAAAACTTAATTTAAATTCTTGTTTTTGGATATTGATACAATTGAAAACCTAGTACCTACCTCTACAAAGTGGGATATAAATTCACCGTTATTAGCTAGCATGAATCTCTATGATGGTTATACTCAATTAAAAGTCCAACAGGAAAAAATGCCAGATGAGGTAATGTTGCTCTAACAGTCTCATTTTGAAACACCACCCTTGTTGATACATTAGCAACAAGTAAAACAGCCACAAGTAGACACAAAACAAAGGCAAATTTAGCTATTTCCAGTCTATTCTGTTAAGGAATATCCATGTTGTCAACCTTAACACTTAGTTATAAAAACTGAAGAGAATTTAGATCCTGAAAGAAAATTATGATGCATCAATTGCTCAGCACGAATATGAAAGGCCAAGAATACTTCGAAATATAGATGCGAAACTTGTTAATATCGGTTTAATTCGGCCAGTACCAAGATTAAATAGGACGAATAGCTATTTTGTGGTATTTTGATCAATTCACTAAGCATGTTGTATCACGATCTTTTCAAAATCGCCAGTTCCACGCCCAGTTCTGCAACATTTAATCGTCACAGGTTGCACTTATAGATAAGAAATTACGGCATGTTCACCAGTCTGAAGAGAATTAGAAATTCCAAGAACTTTTTACCAAGAAGAAACCAACCCAAACATCGCAAAAACACATCAGAATCCAAGATAAGACCAATTTAAAAGGCAATTTTACATTCACAAGAATGAAAATGTCATAAATAGCTTTAAGCGTAGAAAATGTAGTCCTAAGTTACATGTATCCTTATTACTCTTTACTCAAATATATCAAAAATTAGATAAGGATGTCGTAAGTTATCCAGATATTTTTATAAATATCCAAAGTTGGCAAAAAGTGTCTAAACGTTTTCTGCGAGCTTTTCAGAGAAATTTCAATAATTCTAATAATCTTGGGAAACTTTCTAACATTTTCCTAAGCTATCTAGATGTTTTCATTAATATCTAAAATTGTCAAAAAGTGTATAAAAAAGAGTTAGACCTTCAATTAGTGTAATCGATTAAATTTTTTATCAAAAAGTATAAATTTTACCTTAACATCAAAATTGTCGCTAACCTAAATCATCTGAGACATTAATAATTTTATAATTCATTCATTCACTTTTCATTTAATAATCTTTAATAATTACTTACGAATAAGATGATTGCGGATCACTAAAAACTTCACTACCTTCTATACATTCCAACGTTTGATTTAGCCGACGATGCAACTTTGTTGCCAAACTATTACAAGTTTGAGTGTTACAAGAACATCTCTCAAAAGGACACTTTGAACCACGTTCTTTATCTTTTGCAGTAGGAGAAGTACAACGAATCACTTTAGATGTTTGCGACGTAGCAATTTCTTCGCAATTGCAATTCCTTTGCGGCATTTTTTGCTTTCTACACGTTTGTTTTATATTCGATGGATTTAAAGTTGGATATTCTTCTAGGTCGGAATCATCTTGAAAATAATTTTCGTATTTTACACAAACAGCGCAGCATCCGTCGCGCGATGGTTTGCACGTACAATGTTTTTTCGGAGTAATTTTTTGTTTGTATTCATTGATTTTTGGTAGTTTTTCTCGCTGGTCAATAAATTGATTATAATTTGATTGAAATTTAGTAGAAAAGCTTAAAACAAAAAATTTAAATTAATATATTCTTGTAATTAAATTTTACCCATACCAATTACATTTATTATTAAAATTGGGTGATAAACCACTTGGTTTTCTCCCTAAAAGATTATCATCGACTTTACGTACTATAAACGGTGGTTTTTGATTTCGATTTCTTGGTAAACACTTTTTATACCTATAAAGAATTATTTTATTTTTATTTGATACAAATTCTTTTTTTTATTACCTGTGATATCCAGTGGAATGACAAACTCGTTTTAAATGAACCGAATTTTTATGATTTTGATAAAATTTTGATTGGATAACTTTAGGATTTACCACCGAAGGATTTAAAGAGTCTAAAACTACGTCTTCGATGATCGTTTTTGTACTAACTTCGATTTTTGGCGCGATAACACCCTTTAAAAAAATTTATTTAAAAATGTCATCTAAAATAAATTAATTTTTACCGGAAACGATCGCTCAGGTTCCATTAAAAGATCGATATCAATTCCAGCTTTTGAATTTTCAAACGTTGAAGGGTACAATAATTCGCTTAAATTTGTTTGAAATGTTGATAAAACGATTCCTTCATCGGTATTTTGCCATTGTATAAGTTCAATGTATAAACATTCTTTATCTAGACAAAAAACAAATAATATAATGAGTTTTTAGTTTTATTTAGTTTTTTTGGGTTACTTAATAATTTTAATAAATCGTTTAAGCGTTGAGTTTCATAAAACATTTTGAAAAAAATTAATTTTTCATTGAATAAGATTGGAAAAGCTGGCGAGGCGCAACCAGTTTGTATACAAGAATCCAACATGTAAAGTTGTAAAGAAACTTTCCCATTTGGACAAAGATATACACCAGGACAAGTTACCTATAAAAAAAGATCTAAACGGAAAGAATCTAATTGGAGTGAAAACTTACAGCTTGTATTTCAAGCTCAACTTGAACTTGCAAAGCTTTCCGTTGCATTGTTTCTATTTTATTTTGAAGTTTTTACATTTTTTTTGTTATCTTTTCATTTATTTCATAGAGGTAGATGTGGGCTCAATGCTTAAATGTCTTGAACTGTCAGTATTGAGTTTGGTTTTATTTTAGTTCCATTTCCATAACAACGATATTGATTTAATTTGACACACTTTTTTTTAATTTTAAATTCGAAAAGAATTAAGCAGTTATTTCTATATCAAGGGAGACAAACGAAGTTTTTTTTAAATGAGAACGTGCCATTTTAACAGTCATGGCAACTAAAGTTTTGTTCATAACTAATAGCCAATTATTTTTAGTATTGAAGAAATATGTTAACAATTCTGTCGGTAGGTATGAGCTAGAAACCAACAAAACCAAACAAAATCTTGTTTCCCTTATTACACTCTGATCTTCTATTCTTCTATTATGAACTGCTATTCTTCTAAGCTAAATGCCCTATCCTCTTTATAGGCATAACTGTAATCCTGATCTAATATCAAAGAATAATAAGTGTTGTAAATATGAACGATAAACAAGTATAGTAGCTTAATGAATCAAAAGTTATAGTTATTAAAAAAAGATATGGTAACAACATGTGTGTACATGGTAACAAAACAACAGTAAATAAATATTAGATGTTACCAAATCTTGCTACCAAGTCGTGTGTAAATTTACTACTGCGTAAATAGAAAATTACAATAATAACAAATAATATTTTGTGTAGTCATCATATTGCAACCTGCCATGTTCTGTTGTACATTGATGCTTAGGTGTTTCAGCAATCGTGGAAGTTCCTTTTTAACCCTTCGTCTGTAAACGGTTTTTTAGCACCGTTAGCTTCCGTCTGTAAAGGTGGGTCTTTCGGGTCCGGCCGTTTTTTCATCCTGTTAATGCACTCAAAAAATTTTATAAACAATTCATGACAATGTTCGAAACCTCAACTTGATAAATCGTTCATAAAACTATCGAAAAATTTATTTTTCCATACATATTTTTTTATGCAAATGAAGAAATTATTTGCCTAAACAGTTGTAGTGCGGACAGGAAATACCCAGGTTTACAGAGGAAGGGTTAAGAAAGTTCCACAAATCCATTGTGGATTTTCTGCATTCCAATAAAAAATGATCATTGTCTATTAGTACCTCCATTAATACTACTTACTATACGCATTCTTTTCATATACTGTACACTCCCTTCAGTAGAAAGCTGCATAACAACTTCAATGAAACAAGACGGAATCGTATTTCGGCAAAAAAAACATTTTATATACAAGTGTCCGGAAATGACGTGTACAACGGAAAACCACAAGTACCTTGACCAAAAATATGATGATTTAACTCAACTTGTCTATATACAAAATTGCTTAGTTTAGTCGCTAGAGGGTTTTGAAAATTCATGATGAATTCAAGTCAAGTTTAAGCGACAAACTGTTTTTGTTTTTAAAATTAATTATACCCAGCCATCACTCATTCGCGCTTGTAGGAATTTAGAAAATATTTTTTTATGGCTAAACCGTTCATCCAACAGAAAATTTAATATTTATTTGAAAACTTTCTAAATTAAAGTAACTATTCAGAAAATGGTAGTGTTTGTACAGGGGGTTAAAAAGATATGGATGCATAATTTATATATAGTATGTATATATAGAATGACAGCATGCAAATATCTGCTTGAACCAGAGAATTTTCGTTTTCGATCCTGGATTGCCGTTCAGGTAGTAATCACCTACCCATTAGTAGGACATGTTGGAGCAGTAGTGGACATATTGCTTAAACCTGTAAATGGTAGTTCTAGCCACTTTCTCTATATGCAGAACCATTAGAGATAGGCCAAGCAGAACATCCATTGCTAGAGTTGGCGTTGTGCTTATCGCACGTGTTTTAACATAGTAGTTAGGTTAGTTTTGTTTAGAAATGTCAATCAACTCTGACAAAATAATTATGTAAGGTTAGTTTTCTTTTTTAAATGTCAATCATCCCCCAGAGGAATGTTAGGATAGGTCATTTTTGTTTTGAAACCCCAAATATAGTGCGACGGAATGTTAGGATAGGTCAGTTTTCTTTTGAAACCCCAATTATAGCGCGAAGGAATGTTATGATAGGTCAGTTTTCTTTTGAAACCTCAATTATAGCGTTAAGAAATGTTAGGATAGGCCAGTTTTGTTTCTGCCTGTCAATCATCATTTATGGATAACGAATTTGAGACACCTGTATATAGAAATTGCACCATGTGATCAAATATTTACAAATTTCACCGATTTCTATAAGGTTGGAACATTTTCTAACGTAATTAATCTTAACATTTTGGTTTGTATACAGGATGATTCTCAACCTATACGCATAAACNCATTTATTATTAAAATTGGGTGATAAACCACTTGGTTTTCTCCCTAAAAGATTATCATCGACTTTACGTACTATAAACGGTGGTTTTTGATTTCGATTTCTTGGTAAACACTTTTTATACCTATAAAGAATTATTTTATTTTTATTTGATACAAATTCTTTTTTTTATTACCTGTGATATCCAGTGGAATGACAAACTCGTTTTAAATGAACCGAATTTTTATGATTTTGATAAAATTTTGATTGAATAACTTTAGGATTTACCACCGAAGGATTTAAAGAGTCTAAAACTACGTCTTCGATGATCGTTTTTGTACTAACTTCGATTTTTGGCGCGATAACACCCTTTAAAAAAATTTATTTAAAAATGTCATCTAAAATAAATTAATTTTTACCGGAAATGATCGCTCAGGTTCCATTAAAAGATCGATATCAATTCCAGCTTTTGAATTTTCAAACGTTGAAGGGTACAATAATTCGCTTAAATTTGTTTGAAATGTTGATAAAACGATTCCTTCATCGGTATTTTGCCATTGTATAAGTTCAATGTATAAACATTCTTTATCTAGACAAAAAACAAATAATATAATGAGTTTTTAGTTTTATTTAGTTTTTTTGGGTTACTTAATAATTTTAATAAATCGTTTAAGCGTTGAGTTTCATAAAACATTTTGAAAAAAATTAATTTTTCATTGAATAAGATTGGAAAAGCTGGCGAGGCGCAACCAGTTTGTATACAAGAATCCAACATGTAAAGTTGTAAAGAAACTTTCCCATTTGGACAAAGATATACACCAGGACAAGTTACCTATAAAAAAAGATCTAAACGGAAAGAATCTAATTGGAGTGAAAACTTACAGCTTGTATTTCAAGCTCAACTTGAACTTGCAAAGCTTTCCGTTGCATTGTTTCTATTTTATTTTGAAGTTTTTACATTTTTTTTGTTATCTTTTCATTTATTTCATAGAGGTAGATGTGGGCTCAATGCTTAAATGTCTTGAACTGTCAGTATTGAGTTTGGTTTTATTTTAGTTCCATTTCCATAACAACGATATTGATTTAATTTGACACACTTTTTTTTAATTTTAAATTCGAAAAGAATTAAGCAGTTATTTCTATATCAAGGGAGACAAACGAAGTTTTTTTTAAATGAGAACGTGCCATTTTAACAGTCATGGCAACTAAAGTTTTGTTCATAACTAATAGCCAATTATTTTTAGTATTGAAGAAATGTGTTAACAATTTGGTCGGTATTAGATAGCAACCCACAAAACCAGACAACATCTTCTTTCCCTTATTACACTCTGATCTTTATGTTATGTATCACCCTCTTTATTTTGCGTTAGAATTGTGGGAGAATGTCGTCTGCTATTTGTCTGAGCTAAATGCACTATCCTCTATATAGCCATAACTGTAATCTTGATCTAATATCAAAGAATAATAACAAATAATATTTTGTGTAGTCATCATATTGCATCCTACCATGTTTTGTTATACATTGATACTTAGGTGTTTAAACAATCTTGGAACTTCCTTTTCAAGAAAGTTCCACAAAACCAACGTGGATTTTCTGCATTCCAATAAAACATCATTGTCTATTAGTCTCCATTAATACTACTTACTACACACTTTCTTTGCTATAACTATTGCTATAATCTATGAAAATAATATTGCTATAGCAATGTACAGGTGTCCCAAATTCATTGTCCGCATAGGTTATCTCCGAAACTGAAAGAGATAGTAAAAAAGTAGCTTAAATATCAGATCTCGTTTTTTGAGAAACTGCTAATGCCAATATGCCTGCAAATGCAAATATCTGCCTGAACCAGAGAATTTTCGTTTTCGATCCAGGATTGCCGTTCAGGCAGTAATCAACTATCCATTGGTAGGACATGTTAGAGCAATAGTGGACATACTGCTTAAACCTGTAAATGGTAGTTCTAGCCACTTTCTCTATGTGTAAATGCAAAGAAGATAGGCCAAGCAGAACATCCATAGCTAGAGTTGGCGTTGTGCTTATCGCACGTGTTTTAACATAGTAGTTAGGTTAGTTTTGTTTACAAATATCAATCAAATCTGACAAAATAATTGGGTAAGGTTAGTTTTCTTTTTTAAATGTCAATCATCCCCCAAAGGAATGTTAAGATAGGTCATTTTTCTTTTGAAACCCCAAATGTAGCGCGACGAAATGTTAGGATGGGTCAGTTCTCTTTTGAAACCCCAATTATAGCGCGAAGGAATGTTATGATAGGTCAGTTTTCTTTTGAACCCCTAATTATAACATGAAGGAGTGTTTGGATAAGGGCCGGTTGTACCATCTCCCGATAAACTATCTAGCGGATAATTACCATGGTTACAGCGGTTTTAAGCGCTCTCATTGGCTAAGGGCCGGTTGTACAATATACCGATAAACTTCCCGATAGCGTTATCTGGCAGATAAGTTAGTTTGTACTGTATTACAATGTACGGATATTTTTGTCGGTGAGATTATCGGCGGGATAACTTATCGGGTATTCAACGGTGCCGATAAGACACTTATCCGCCAGATATTTATGGTTGCCAAGGTTTTTATATAAAAACTTTGTATGATTACTGCATAGGTTAACCTCTAACATTAAACGTTAACCTTATATGTACGATGTGTCAGTGAAAATTTTTTTAAACAATTTAAATTGTCAAAATCATAATTCAAACTTCAAAGAAAGACGTTGGCGTTACCATTCTACGGCATAAATCACTAGATATGGGGAAAAACTACTACCAACCGACTCTTATTTCGCCGATAACAATCCTACCGACAAAAACAGTTTATACAACAGCGAATATCTTTATCCTCCTGATAAGTTTATCGGGCGGATAGATATCAGGTAGATTTATCGGTATATTGTACAACCGGCCCTTAGTGCGCCAATTTATCTATCGGATAAACTTATGGGGAGGTGGTACAACCGGCCCTAGGTCAGTTTTCTTTTGAAACATCAATTATAGTGTGAAGAAATGTTAGGATAGACCAGTTTTGTTTCTGCCTGTCAATCACCATTTATGGATAACGAATTTGAGACACCTGTATATAGAAATTGCACCATGTGATCAAATATTTACAAATTTCACCGATTTCTATAAGGTTGGAACATTTTCTAACGTAATTAATCTTAACATTTTGGTTTGTATACAGGATGATTCTCAACCTATACGCATAAACTGAAGGATTTATTTCTCAGGACAAATAATGACTAATAGATGAAAAAATTGTAGTAAAAGTTTTTTAGTTTCCTAGATATCTGATATAATCGGCGACATCTAGATAATGTGTTTCCTGGAAGATGAATAGGTCGAGATGGTCCAATAGCCTGGCCACAGTGATCGCCCGGCTTTGGTTCTCTTGAAGTGTGAGCCACAGAAGTTAATACTCAGCAAATATTGCAAAATCAGCTATATGCTGCTATGCTGGCCGCGCTAGTGTGGGATCGTGGATACGGGGAGTCCAATTGATAGAAAATATGGGAAATAACTTCGAACACTTGCTGTGATGTTATCTTGATTTGAAAGTAAACATCAAGGATATCTATGAAACAGAAAATCTTTTACTACTAATTTTTTCGCCTATTAGTCATTATTCGTCATGAGGAATAAATCTCTCAGTTTATACGTATACGTTGAGAATCACCCTGTATATTGTTTTCAAATATGTACATTTATAAAAACATTGAGTCTTGTTCAAGAAAAAAGCACATTTTTTTTAATTAGTATGGTGAATAAGATTGTTGAGATTAGAAATGTTTTCAATGTAAGGTAATGATATTGATTTCAAATAGTCTGTAAATACTAGTTATTTACATCAAAGTCTGGAAAGTTGTCTATTGTAGGCGAGGAACATTTCTCGTAGCAGAGTATCCTTAAGTTCCGACCCTAGCAAGTCAACAAGTCACACAAGTCTTCCCTTTTTTTACCAACCATACTCGTTTCACTCGTCTAGTATCCTGCATTCTTTGTAGCTGTCCCCGTGATGTCCCCACTAACTGAGCTGCCTCTTTTCTATAAAATCGTCCAAGGCCTTATACATTTAACTCTTTTTTTCCTTATGTCATCATTCCTAATCTTCTCTCCCTTCGTCACCCCTTCAAAAAAAAATATATACCTTTCTAATTAACAGGTGAATTTTAATACTTAGGAGTACAAGTTTTTGAAGGTTAAAAATACAATTATATCCAGGTTAAGGGTGTGTCCACTTATTGCGCTGTATTCGAGCACAGCATCAGCATTTCTGCCGTTCGCCAACTTTTTAGTAAGGGAGTTTCTCGCATATGTTGCGCAAACATTTTTTAGTATGTCCAAACTTGCGCGCGGCACACCTTAACAGATGAGGACAAGAAATATAATTTTTTATATAAAGATTCAAGACTTCAAAATCGTTAACGGTATCAATTTAATAATGTTTTTATAATTTATTTGTGTATAATAAATACAGTTCTTAATAACAATTAATTATAAAATAGAACGAAAATCACATAAACATTCGAATTAATCGCAATTGAAACAAGATTAGGTTTCTTATTTCAACTTGNTTAAAAATCGTCAATTTATATAAAAAAATTCTCATTAGTTTCTCGCAAAACTTGGTAATTTGTCAGTTAACCGTGTCGTAGTTATTAAAGAGACATCGACGTTGGCACGTGGCTTCTTCTGAACTTCGTCGAGCTTTCGCGAACGTCGCCGTAGTGGATGTTGAAACGTTGGCCTGGATATAAAAGACAAAGAATTCCTCGTCAAAGTAAACAAGTCGCCGACGCACGGCAGTAATGAAGAATGATGTCGCCGTTGTAAAATATTCACGAGAAGAGTCACTTTATGAACACGCCGTTAGCTACAAACCCTACCCAACAGCAAAACCCTCCACAACGCGACCGCAGCATGCAAAATAACGTGTTTGGCCATCACGCACCGAGAAACATCCCATTTTGCCCAGACATTGTCTCTGCAAAGTGAATGCTATCTTCGAGATTAACTGCTAAATGCAAAACGACGGACAAGAATTTAGGTTATACCATGTATTTTACATATTCATCATAAGATACGATCTTTATTCTTGAATTATTATTATAAGCTCGATGAAGAGGAAAGAAAAGGAATCGAGTCACACGACATTTCCATTTCAATTGTAAAATAAGCTAATGCATTTTGCGGATGCCGACTAAAGCTAAAGGACAGATAAACTCGTGATTGATGAAACGGAACGCCTCTGAAATACAAACGGTGGCATTCTCCTAAAGCTTTTCTTAAAGGAGAGGTGGTCCGAACCGTGAAGAGATCCCGTTAGCTGGAACACTGTTTATCTTTTTTTTGCTACTTACTTCCGAGAGAATCTAATTTTATTTCGACGAGACTAGAATTTTTATGCAATATAAAGAAAACTAATACGAGGATGGGAGTGTGTCCGTTATAGCCAAAAATCCGTTATATGAAAAATATTTAATTTACATATTAAAGATTCATTCCAATTTAGCCGTACGGCTAGTGTTAGTTCTTGTTTTTTAAGTACGAAGACTTTTCTAGTTTTATACTAACACTGTTACTAGAACTAATACTAGAGCATGAACCATTCGGGTTTAGCCGTATTAAGAGACGTTCGGCTAAACCCGAATGTTTCTAGTTCTAGGTCTAGTGTTAGTTTTAGTGCTAATTCTTGTTTCGATTGTTATTCAGCGTCAGATTGTTGTACATATATTTTTCATTAAAGTAAAACTAGAACTAACACTAGACCTAGAACTAGAAACATTCAGGTTTAGCCGCACGTCTCTTAAGACGGCTAAACCCGAATGTTTCTAGTTCTAGGTCTACTGTTAGTTCCACTTCTATGGCTGATAGTTCTCAGTGTGTGTTCTATTTTTAGTTCAATATACAGAGTGTCCCGAAACTCAACGTCAAGCGGGCACCGGGTGAGACGCCAACCCATACCTGTTCTAGTAAATATAAGAAAAGAATTCCATGTCTCTTAGTTAAGTGGTAATAGACAAGGACAGTAGAATCTAACAGGACTGCTACATCCATTGTATTTTTGTAGTCCACTACGGGTTGGTTGCCCGCACTCTACGTCACACTATTTGCCACGCCTGGTAACTGTCTGTGTTTTTAGAGGTTATATGATAGACATTAATACGTCTAAAAACATAAAACTTCAAAAATGTAATGAATACGTCTAGGATATAACCTCTAATAATACACAGCAAACATAGACCATAACAACAGCTGGGCGTGGAAAATGGTAGGACGTAGATTGCGGGCAGGTTGTCACAACAATGGATGTAGCAGTCCTGTTAGATTCTACTGTCCTTGGGTAATAGATATATTTTTGAAAATGTACAACGGTCAGAAATGCTCGCAATTTAATAGTGATTTTTTAATAATGTATTCTTTGTGAACCATGCTACTATAGAAATCACAAATCAAACAACAAAAATCGTTAGTTTTGCAAAAAAACTATTAATTTGATCGACTTTAGGTTAAAAGAATTTTTGTCTATTAAGTTTGACCCACGATTTCTAAAGAAAGGAGTAGTACAACACCCTTGGCAAGTTATTTTAAAAGATGGCCTGTTTAGTCAAGTTTCCAAAATGGTACAACACTTGCCTTTTTTCTTATCATAAAAAATATTATTGCCTGTTTTTCTGCAATAAACACGTTATTTAAAAAATTCATATTTTCGTATGCTATTAGTATTTCCTCCAAAATAATTTAACAAGTTTCTTAGAAGATGTGCCACTCAATATCTACAGAGAAATGTGGTTTCAACAAAATGGTTGCCCAGCTCATTATGCATGTCCTGTACGGTATTACATACAGAATAGCCAGAAAGATGGATTGGACGTCTTGGTACGATTACGTGGCCTCCTCATTCTCTGGGCATAAATCCCCTTGATTTTTTCTAGTTCTAGGTCTAGGGTTAGTTCTAGTTTTAGTTCAATGAAAATTATACAGCAATCTAACTCCGAATAACAACTAAAACTAGAACTGACACTAACATTAGAACTAACACTAGATCTAGAACTAGAATCATTCGGGTTTAGCCGTCTTAAGAGACGTACGGCTAAACCCGAATGTTTCTAGTTCTAGGTCT